ATATATAAAATATTTATAAAATATATAATACCCTATATATTTTGTCGTGCCGAATATGTAAAAACTGGTCAAATTTGCAAGAAAACATTTAAAATAAGTCCTTTCCTAAAAAATTTCTCTTATTCGTTTTTAAAAATATATTTTTTTCATTAATGTTAATGTAAAAAATTTAATTTTGCTCAAAAGAATCTTAGAAAACTTGCCCAAGCTTATTATAACAAGAAACAATTTATTTTAGCCAAGCCCAACTAACTATATTTTAGATTTGTTTACAATAATTTAATACTAAACAAAAAACAGTGAAATATATTTTTTTCGTTAGGTTCAGAATGATTTTGGCGAAATTATTGCATACACAAATTTTCGCTTGTTCTATATGGCAAGATGAGCGTTGCTATTTAACCAAGATCGCAAGTTCTGCCTATTCGGCACGAAAAATATATATATATATTATTATATATATATTATATATATATATTTATATATGTCGTGCCGAATATGTAAAATGGTCAATTAGCAAGAACTCATTTAAAATTAAGTCCTTTCTAAATTTTCTCTTATACGTTTAAAGATATTTTTTTTTTATTATGTTAATGTAAAAATTTTAAATTTTGCACCAAAGAATCTTAAAAAAACTTCCCTTTAACCTTATTATAACAAGAACATTTATTTTAGCCTAACCCAACTAAATGTATTTTAAATAAGTTTACAATAATTTAGTACTAAGCAACACAATCAAATTTATTTTTTTCGTTAGGTTTAGAATGATTTTGGCGAAATTATTGCATAAACAAATTTTCACTTGTCCTATACGGCAAGATGAGCGTTGCTTTTTTAAAGCCAAGATCGCAAGTTCTGCCTATTCGGCAGACATATATATATTTTATATATATATATATATTTTATATTATATATATATATATATATATTATATATATATATATATTTATAAATATATATATATATAATATATATATATATATTTATATATATATATATATATATATTTATTTATATATATATTTATATATATATATACATATATATATATATTATTTTATATATAAAATATATATATATTTTATATAATTATATATATATATATAATATATAAAATATTATATATTATAATATATATTTATTTATAATATATATATATATTATAATATATTTTATATATATATATATATATATATATATATATTTTATATTATATATATTTATATATATTATATATATATGTCGTGCCGAATATGTAAAAAACTGGTCAATTAGCAAGAACTCATTTAAATTAAGTCCTTTCTAAAATTTTCTCTTTTACGTTTAAAGATATTTTTTTTTTCATTTATGTTAATGTAAAAATTTATAATTTGCACCAAAGGAACTTAGAAACTTACCTACCCTTATTATAACAAGTGCAATTTATTTTGCCTAAACCCCACTAAATATATTTTAGATTTGTTTACATAATTTAATACTAAACAAACACAGGAAATATATTTTTTTCGTTAGGTTCAGAATGATTTTGGCGAAATTATTGCATACACAAAAATTTTCACTTGCCCTATAGGGAAAGATGAACGTTGTTTTTAAACCCAGATCGCAAGTTTGCCTATTCGGCAGGGACTATTATTAGTGCTGGGATGTGTGGTTATGCAAAAGCTTTAATTCAAACTAAATATCATCTAATTAACTAACAAAATGAAAAACAACTAAAAAATTTTTAAATTAACAAGTAGTACTTCGTGCATTCACTATTTTTTCGTGTGAAGGTAAAATTCTAAACAGATGACCTCCCTACCTCCTAATTAAAAAAGAATTATTATCGACTAAATGGGGCTAATTAACTTGTTATAAATCTTGTCTTAGCTGTGTGGTGGGGGTGGTGGGGAGTGCTGACTTGTTGGTGGGCATGGGTATAGGGTGGCCCGTATTGTTTGGGAGCCTATAGCCCCGCATGTTGTGACCCAAAAGGGTATCTACCTGGCATTTTTTTGGTTGTTATCCTGTTGTATATCCAT